AGCCTGATGTGTGTCTGTGTGGTTAGACTGCAGCCTGATGTGTGTCTGTGTGGATAGACTGCAGCCTGATGTGTGTCTGTGTGGATAGACTGCAGCCTGATGTGTGTCTGTGTGGTTAGACTGCAGCCTGATGTGTGTCTGTGTGGTTAGACTGCAGCCTGATGTGTGTCTGTGTGGATAGACTGCAGCCTGATGTGTGTCTGTGTGGATAGACTGCAGCCTGATGTGTGTCTGTGTGGTTAGACTGCAGCCTGATGTGTGTCTGTGTGGTTAGACTGCAGCCTGATGTGTGTGTGTCTGGATAGACTGCAGCCTGATGTGTGTCTGTGTGGTTAGACTGCAGCCTGATGTGTGTCTGTGTGGATAGACTGCAGCCTGATGTGTGTCTGTGTGGTTAGACTGCAGCCTGATGTGTGTCTGTGTGGTTAGACTGCAGCCTGATGTGTGTCTGTGTGGTTAGACTGCAGCCTGATGTGTGTGTGTGTGGATAGACTGCAGCCTGATGTGTGTCTGTGTGGATAGACTGCAGCCTGATGTGTGTGTGTGTGGATAGACTGCAGCCTGATGTGTGTCTGTGTGGATAGACTGCAGCCTGATGTGTGTCTGTGTGGTTAGACTGCAGCCTGATGTGTGTCTGTGTGGTTAGACTGCAGCCTGATGTGTGTCTGTGTGGATAGACTGCAGCCTGATGTGTGTGTGTCTGGATAGACTGCAGCCTGATGTGTGTCTGTGTGGTTAGACTGCAGCCTGATGTGTGTGTGTCTGGATAGACTGCAGCCTGATGTGTGTGTGTGTGGATAGACTGCAGCCTGATGTGTGTCTGTGTGGTTAGACTGCAGCCTGATGTGTGTCTGTGTGGTTAGACTGCAGCCTGATGTGTGTCTGTGTGGTTAGACTGCAGCCTGATGTGTGTCTGTGTGGTTAGACTGCAGCCTGATGTGTGTCTGTGTGGTTAGACTGCAGCCTGATGTGTGTGTGTGTGGATAGACTGCAGCCTGATGTGTGTCTGTGTGGATAGACTGCAGCCTGATGTGTGTCTGTGTGGTTAGACTGCAGCCTGATGTGTGTCTGTGTGGTTAGACTGCAGCCTGATGTGTGTCTGTGTGGATAGACTGCAGCCTGATGTGTGTCTGTGTGGTTAGACTGCAGCCTGATGTGTGTCTGTGTGGTTAGACTGCAGCCTGATGTGTGTCTGTGTGGATAGACTGCAGCCTGATGTGTGTCTGTGTGGTTAGACTGCAGCCTGATGTGTGTCTGTGTGGTTAGACTGCAGCCTGATGTGTGTCTGTGTGGTTAGACTAAGGCAGGTTAATATTTTGATGGAAAAATTAGCTTATTTCTTCAATACCTTCCAGGTCATGTGACCTAATCACTCAAAATCAATGCTGGGTCAAAGAACTACACTGGCTGCATAGGACACACCTCTTTTTATTCCATTTTAATACTTTAAATATTTTATATTAATATTTTGATGGAAAAATTAGCTTATTTCTTCAATACCTTCCAGGTCATGTGACCGATTCACTCAAAATCAGTGCTGGGTCAAATAACTACACTTGCTGCCAGGATAACAACCTCCATCTCAACGTCAGCAAAACCAAAGAGCTGATTGTGGACTACATGAAGCAGCAGAGAGAGGGTCACGCCCCCATCGCCATCAATGGGACCTACGGTGGAGAGTCAGCAGCTTCAGGTTCCTTGGGGTCCACATCACTGAGGACCTGACATGGACTCTTCACACCACCACCATCACCAAGAAAGCTCGACAGCGGCTCTTCTTCCTCCGCAGGCTGAGGAGGTTCAACATGGACTCCAGGATACTCTGCAACTTCTACAGGTGCACCATAGAGAGGATCCTGACCTTCTACAGGTGCACCATAGAGAGGATCCTGACCTTCTACACGTGCACCATAGAGAGGATCCTGACCTTCTACAGGTGCACCATAGAGAGGATCCTGACCTTCTACAGGTGCACCATAGAGAGGATCCTGACCTTCTACAGGTGCACCATAGAGAGCATCCTGACCTTCTACAGGTGCTCCATAGAGAGTATCCTGACCTTCTACAGGTGCACCATAGAGAGGATCCTGACCTTCTACAGGTGCACCATAGAGAGCATCCTGACCTTCTACAGGTGCACCATAGAGAGCATCCTGACCTTCTACAGGTGCACCATAGAGAGCATCCTGACCTTCTACAGGTGCACCATAGAGAGCATCCTGACCTTCTACAGGTGCACCATAGAGAGCATCCTGACCTTCTACAGGTCCACCATAGAGAGGATCCTGACCTTCTACAGGTGCACCATAGAGAGCATCCTGACCTTCTACAGGTCCTCCATAGAGAGCATCCTGACTGGCTGCTTCACGGCCTGGTACGGCAGCTGCACCGCCCTCAACCGTAAGGCTTTACAGAGGGTGGTGGAAACTGCACAGCACATCACCAGGACGGAGCTGCCATCCATGGAGGACCTTTACTCCCAGCGGCTCAGGAAGAAAGCCCTCAGGATTATCAAAGACCCCCATCACCCCAGCCACAAACTGTTCAGTCTGCTGCCGTCTGGCAGGCGTTACCGGAGCATCCGGACTAAAACCACCAGACTCAGGGACAGCTTCATACCACAGGCAATAAGACTGCTAAACAACTGAACTGCTGAAACAACATCTGTTAAACACCTGAACTGTTGAAACAACATCCATAACATTCATCTGCTACTTAGTAATTATTTATCTATTTCTCTAATATATCATTCCAATAACTTGCATATAGACTCTTATTGCACTATTTCACTTTTTTAAACTATTTTTCTTTTTGTATTTACTATTTACTTGCACTATATTTTTCTGTTTATCTGTGTTATTGTGTTGCACTGTTGGAGAAGCCTGTGAGCTAAGATTTTCATCGTAATAACTACACTGTAGCTATGTTCGTATGACAAATAAAAACCTTGAACCTTGATTAATGAATTAAAGTACTTGTTGTTTTGCCCGCTGACCGGCTGGTCCTGTGGCTCGTCTTTTTTTTGTAACTAGCTGATGCTCAATCTAATCCTGTTCTTCAAAGTCACTGTCAGACTCAGAATTCTCAGAAATGTGATCCTCACATTCTGAAACACCTTCCTCTTCCTCTACATCATCATCAAATGGTTCTCTCTCTTCCAAAATCATTTGCAAGGCCCTCTGAGCAGAGAATCATTTGGCCATCTTGATCAGTTGTGATAAGATAAGAAAATGTGTTCTGATATATGTTCTTCACAGAAAATTAGCCAACGCCATTGAGTGTGAGTTTGAACAAATAATGTATCATATCATTTTTCTTTAGATAAATAATGAAACACTATACAAGGGTTAATATTAATACATTTTTGTATGGAAAATTCTGTTTATTTTTTCAATAGCTTCTCTGTCATGTGACCGAATGTCACACTCAGTATTGTAGAAAGGAAAAAATAGTGGCAAATAAATGAAGTGGGAATTAAAACAAGTATGTATCTGAACGAAAAGTACTACAATTACCTACAAATGTACACAGATGGTTCTAAGAACAAAGAAGAGTGTGTTGGAGTTGGTATATACATCCCAGACTTTAAAATATCTATCTCAAAAAGAGCGTCTGATCAATTATCAGTGTATACAGCAGAAATGCTTGCTGTAATAATAGGATTACAGTGGGTTGAAGAGGTCAGACCAGATAGGGTGGTGATATGCACAGATTCATTGTCCATATTAAAAAGCACAGATTCATTGTCCATATTAAAAAGCATACAGTCAACAATAATATTATCCGATATAAAGAGCTGTTTCTATTGTGTACAGACTAGTATTCAATTCAGAAAGTGATTTTGAGTCACTAGATATTGAAGAAATAAGCTAAGCTAAGCTAATAAGCTAATTTGCAATAAAAAGAGGTGTGTCCTATGCAGCCAGTGTAGTTATTTGAGCCAGCATTGATTTTGAGTGATTAGGTCACATGACCTGGAAGGTATTGAAGAAATAAGCTAATTTTTCCATCAAAAATATTAATATAAAATATTTAGAGTATTAAAATGGAATAAAAAGAGGTGTGTCCTATGCAGCCAGTGTAGTTATTTGACCCAGCACTGATTTTGAGTGATTAGGTCACATGACCTGGAAGATATTGAAGCAATATGCACATTTTTCCATCAAAATATTAATATAAAAATATTTAAAGTATTAAAATGCAATAAAAAGAGGTGTGTTCAATAAATGTATGCTCTAGAGTGAATTTGCTTCACATTCACACGATCGAGAAGCTGTCGATTTATTAAAAAGAACATTGTTCTTGTGTAATTGAAAAGTCATTTGTTGATGGTCCCTAAGTGAAAGCCTCGTTTCGCGCAGAAGATCTCCCCGTCGTAATACAGCCCAGCAGCAGGGGAAACTGAACGCTGCTGGCTGGTCCGCGAATGTCCGTCGAATATCCAACCTAAACTAACTTCACCGCGGTCAACCAATGCCACATTTTCCAGCACTCTCTTCTCAATAACCCAATACACACAATTATCAATCTTTAATTGCAAATAGAACATGATATTCAGTCTTAGTGTGTGTGTGCATCGAATATTTGTCAAGGCAAAGATACGTTAAACCCACTGCAGCCTTGCACTTCGCCAGGAGAGGTCGCTGTAACTGAAGCGTCGAGAAAATAACCTATTTTCGAAACAATTGTCCAAGTGGTTCGATGCTTCATTCAAAGCTTAATTTGCCCATCACTAGCTTGTCTTCGTCGCCGGCAGCTCTATCCGCTGCGAACGACACCTTCCCACCCAAAAGAGTGCCGAGTCACATGTAGCGTCCTCCAACCTCGATTCACATTTCTCCACTGCCTTTTGTCTCTCAGCTGTGAGTCTCTCAGCCTGTGAGTCTCTCAGCTGTGAGTCTCTCAGCTGATTAACACACCTGTTCCCAGTTCAGTTAATCAGTGCCCATGCAGGCGCGTTCACATCACACAAATAATGTTACTTTGAGTTTCATTTTCAGCGACGATTTAGAGAATTGCGCGACACGGAGGATAGCTCTCATGTGAAGGTGATTTTCCACCGAGACAAAACAACAGTTACTAATAAACAGGTAAGCTTTGACTTTGTTACCTCTTCTCACGCTTTATGTAACTTGTATTGGATTTGAACTATTAAGCTGCAGCAGAGGTTGAAAGGCAAGGCAAGTTTATTTATACAGCACCTTTCAACACAAGGCAATTCAAAGTGCTTTACAAAATGAAAGACATTAAGAGCATTAAGAAACGTATTATAAAATGACATTTAAAAACACATTTTAAAGCACAGGTACATGAATAAAAGTGACACTGCAGTGTGAGAAACACACATCTGAAATGTTTAGGTCTGACTCTCAATCATTGCTCACTTTTTAGCAGAAATAGTTTTCTTTGACCTCACTTTCTTTCTTCTTTCTTTTTTAATTTATCCTTTAGTTATTTCAAGTGTTTCATGCTAAACGAACCCCCCTTTGGAGAATTATAATCTGACTCCATGGTACCTTTTTTAGCTTTCGCCAAAACTATTCCTCTTTTTATTTTTTTAAATGCACATTCGTTAAGTTTAAGTTGTCTTTTCTAGGATTTTTTGGTATCCTCCGCGAACCAGGGTCTTGAAACCAAAACGGCACACGTAGGGGACGTTAACCGGTCTATGGGACTTTAACCCTAAAAATAATAAGCCTGAATATATCAATTAAAAGCAGCGGCAAAAATAAAAGTCTTCAGCCTGGATTTAAAAGTAGTCAGAGTTGTAGCGGACCTGCAGGTTTCTGGGAGTTTGTTCCAGATATTTGGAGCATAATAACTGAACTTCTCCATGTTTAGTTCTGACTCTGGGGACAGAAAGCAGACCTGAGAGATCTGGATGGCTCATAATGCAGCAGCAGATCAAAAACCATACAAAGCTTTGTAAACCAGCAGCAGTATTTTTTAAATCAATTATTTGACAGACAGGAAGCCAGTGTAAAGACTTCAGAACAGGACTGATCCACTTTCTTAGTGTCAGTGAGGACTCGAGCAGCAGCGTTCTGAATCAGCTGCAGCTTTCTAATAGATTTTTTTAGTGAGACCTTAAAGACAGGTTTTATATGTCGTGCACAGCAGTGTAGATATCTCAATACAAAACGTAGGTCCAGTTCCTCCAACAATGCAACATAAATATATATAAGACATACAAAAACAATAAAAAATAGTTCGAGAGAATGTTGCAAGATTTACGGAAGAGGATTAGGGCCACAAATGTTTGTTTTTGTTAAAAAAAAAAAGTCAGAATTGCTACTTTTACTTAAAGGTGGGGTAGGTAAGTTTGAGAAACCGGCTCGAGATACACTTTTTGTTATATTCCATGGAATGCTCTTAACATCCCGATAGCAATGAATATTTTAAGTGCTTTGACAAAAAATCCATAAAGAAATGTCATCTGTGGAAGCCGTAATACTGTAAAAAGTACGACCAATCTAAAATGATTGGATGACCTACCTGCCTGTCAGCCTTCCATCTGTGCACAAACTTATCTCGTGCCCTCATTGGTCATGTGCGCGTTCGTGTGTGTTGGAGGAGGGGCTCTGTAAGGAAGTGGCAGATTTTTTTCCGGCTATGTATTTTCAAATTCTAGCGATCTCGAGCTGGTTTCTCCAAAATTACCGACCCCACCTTTAAAGCTCACCTTTTATGCTATATTTGAACAATATATTATAGGGCCATATCAATACAAAACATGTGTCTGAAGCAGTGGCGAGCCGTGAGCTTTATACCGAGGCCCTCTGACCCCCACCAATTCCCTCGAAAAAAAGAAAAAAAAAAAGTTATTGCGTCACAGCGTATACTTCAGCGGAATATCAAAACAACGGCCCAGGGTGCAAAACGCATCAATGACAGCGTCCCTCTACCACACAAAACAACACCTGTGAACCCAATTTGTGTTCTTTGAAAATGATATTGTGTTTGTTACTTTCGTTGCAGTTGTATGTCTTAAGTGTAATTTGGCATGCTTTTATTTTGAAGGCGAGTTCACGCTGTTGACAGGAAGTTGTTGTTGCTATGGAAACAAGAAAAGTTTCACAGCGGGCGGAACTTGTCATAAAGTCCACGATAATAAAACCCACCCATTTAGAGGGAAGATATGATTGGTCAATTGTACTGTCATTTGACATTACTCTCTCGTTCAGTTACTATAGCAACCCTCTGTGAATCGCAGAGAGGGCCAGACGAGCTTCTTTCATGTAACCCTTCACATTCAACAGAGACTGAACAGGCAGATTCGAAGGATTTATTTCTTTGGAAATGTTATTTTAAATACAATTAAATCAAGTAGTTTTTTTCGGTAAAACTAATGAAAAATATAACAAAAATAATATTAAAAATATATATATTTAAAAAAAATATATATTTTTTTAGAATATCTTAGGCCCTCTGTGAGGGCCCTGACGGCTCGCCACTGGTCTGAAGTGTTTTGCTCAAAATACCAAACAGATAATCTTTCTCTCTCAGATTTACCACAAGGTGAGTTCATTTGTATTCCCTGCTTCTTTACACATACTCTCTCCAGTACAGGTTAGCTCTGAGTGTTAGGGATGCTAATGTTAACAAAGACCATATTACTTCCAAAACAGTCGGGCATTGTTTCTGATAGCAACGTTTCTGATAGGGCCGTGGGTGTAAAGCCACATTTCAGATATTACGTCATATCGGACGCAAATCTGGATCAGCTCTGTTGTTCCCCCGTTTTTAGAGATGTGGGTACGGAGGAAAAGAGAGGGTTTTGTTTTCTGACACTTTGTGAGTCTCCTGAAACACCGGGGACTAGGGCTGCACGATATTGGAAAAAACTGACATTGTGATTTTCCCCCCCCCTGCGATATATATATTGCGATATGAAAACATACAGGAATTGAAGAAAATAATGTTTTTTCCCCCCGCAAACCATCCTTTCTTGAACTTTAATGCTATACAATTGGTATTTTTGTAACTATATTTAACCGGATGAAGGATTTTAGTCACGGATGTCTGGATCTTAAGTTATCAGAGCAACAAGCTGAGCTAGCTCGGTTAGCAGCGCCAAACTGCCCTGGAGAAACACATGAAACTGCTTTATTCAGTGTTTTTACCTTTAATCACGGGGTCCGTTTGCTTTGGAGATTTGATTGTGATTGGTGGTTTGCTGTCACTCACTCAAGTACCCCTGACATGAGAGCCGCGCAAGTTTTCCTTTTGTAGCAAGCAGCAAAATAATTGTAACATGACGTGTTTGAGTTAATTTGCCTTCTTAATATCGCACGTCCTAAAAAATGTTTTCAAAAAGAAAATTTTAAAAATCTCACGCTGCATGCGCATATCATGATTATCGTCACGACACGATATATCGTGCAGCCCTACCGGGGACACATATTTAAGAAGCACCTAACCAGAAACCCTCTCCTCTGTCTTTTCCCTTCAGAAATGGCCTCTGAAAACATTTCAGAGGAGTTTCTGTGCTCCATCTGTTTGGATGTTTTCACGGAGCCTGTTTCCACTCCCTGTGGACACAACTACTGCCGGGCCTGCATCAGCAGCTACTGGAGCTCCAGGGACATCATCCAGTGTCCGCTGTGCAAAGAAACCTTCCTCACAGCCCCCAAACTGAGAGTCAACACCGTGTTCAGAGACATGTTGGAGATTCTCAAGAAGACCAAACAAGCAGGTGACTCAAATTCCCAAAATGTTCAGAATTTGTATTTTATAAAGAATTTAATTTGTTTTTGGAATTATTTTTGTCGAAAGTTTTTTTTTTATAAATGTATTTACCTTGGATTTAAAGATTATAGTATTTTGATAAAGGTATGTTTTCCTGTTTTAAAATAATGTTATGTTTTAATACTGAACCCATTTTAAAGAAATGTTTATATATATATATATATATATATATATATATATATATATATATATATATATATATATATATATAATTTTATTTTTAAGAAAATTATATATATATATATATATATAATTTTATTTTTAAGAAAATGTAGTGATCATTATTGAAAAATGTATGTTTTGGATCTGAATAATTTTACTTTGTTTGGAAAACATGTCATTGTGTTTAAAGGACCGCAGTAAAAATTATAATAATGAAAAAAGGTCTTCCAAAAAGGTCCTTGATATTCTTTTTCAAAACATCATCACATTCTGAAATGTCTTCATTTCCAGAATCAGCAGGCAGACAGGATGACTTATAATGACAATCATTTAATCAAGGAATATATACTGACAGGTACAGACAGACAGAAAGTGCTAAATAAAAAATGTATGTGAAAAAAAACAGTCTTTAATTTTCCAAAAGCAGGTGAGGATGGAGGATCCCCGGCCGGGCCTGGAGATGTTCCCTGTGACCTCTGCGAGGGGAATAGGAAGCGTAAGGCTGTGAAATCCTGCCTGGTTTGTGTGGCCTCTTACTGCGACGCTCACCTGAAGCCCCATCGCACCGTGCAGAAGTTAGAGTGGCACCAGCTGATCAACCCCGTGGATTCCCTCGAGGAAAGGGTCTGCAGGAAGCACAACAAAGTGATGGAGTCTTTCTGCAAGAGAGACCAGTGCTGCGTTTGTTCCGTGTGCCTGAAGGAAGACCATGTGGGGCATGAGGTCGTCTCTTTGGAGAAAATGTTTAGGGCGAGGAAAACTATGCTGCAGCGTGCAAAAACATCTATGGCCAACGCTATATCAGATAAATGCAACACGGTTTTCAGGGTAGAAAAGTCGATGACACAAAGTAGGCAGAAGCTGGAGGAAACTAAGGTGGAAGCGAACCAGGCCCTCGCTGGTTTGGTTGCCGCGATTCTCAGCAAAAAAACTAAGCTGATGGAAGTTTTGGAGGAGAAGCAGGAAGCTGAAGAGCAAAAGGAATAAAGCACTAAAGAGACAGCTAGGGCTGGAGCTCGCAGAACTCCGTCAGACGAGTGTGAAGATGGAAAGAGGTTTTAAAGACAGAGGACGAATTTCAACTCCTACAGAACCTACCATCCATCCCCTCTGCAACAAACACAAAGCATTGCTATACAGAACGCAAAAGTCTCCTGCAAGTAGAGAAAGTCTGGAGAGCGGTGGCTAAAATCGAGGAAACGCTCAACGAACACATGGACAAGATTATCAGAGAGGTCCTTCAGGGGGATGAGGAAGAGGAGGCCTTTGAAGAACAGCAAACAGCAAACCGTGTTTGACGATGAACTTTGGGAAATGTGCTGTTTATTTGGGGATTTTATTAAGACTATATACTTTATTCAATGTTTAATGCCTAAACACACTGCTGCTACACAGTATATAACTCATTGTACACTTTTGATTTACTCTTGTTTTCCTTTCTGATGTTGTGTTTGTGATTTTCCGAGCAATCTCTGAAGGAATCATTTATTTGGGGGTTTATTAAGTTATATCTTATAGAATAATCAATAATATTATTCAGCTAACTTTGTCTTCTTTAGTCATACTCGTGTTTGGGTATCGTTTGCCATTTTCTTCGGCTGTTAAGATTCACTTTTAGTTGTTATATCAAAATAAAATATAGTTGTAATGATATATTTGTTTTCTGAAATGAATGCAGTTTTTGCCTTTGGTCACTTGAGGGCAGTGCACACACAATAATGGTATTCTGCTAAACTCCTAATAAACAATACACAAGTTTACTGTTCACAAAACAGGAGATACATATTATTATTCAAAAGACAGCCATTTTAATGTCTTCATACAAGGTGGGTTATATTTAGTTTCCACTCAATTTGCTGGAGGTGAGAATGACAAGAAAAACATTACCAAAAAGCACTTTAAAAAAAAGAGATTTCTTCATAAAAATGTGTTTCTTTTTATTGGATTGCACTTTGTAAATGTGTATTAAAGGTCTCATATGAATAAAGTTAATTAAAATAATTAAAAATTGCTGAATTGCTTGGAGTTGACACACGATATCTAAGGTTTTTGAACATGTTTTGGAGATACAGGTGAGGAATTATGAAATTAGTATGACATAAGGTAGCATAATTTACATACTTTACAGCAATATAACACGGGAGTATTATTTAAACTACATTCGAGTATAACATAGGCTAGTATAATACAGTATATTGTAATATAGTTATAATATATATATATAAAGACTGTCAATAAACATGCTTTTTATGACTTCAATATTGGTATAAATATAAGTTTTGTTATTATATTCATGACATTTAAAGTTGTCTTGTTGGAGAGTGCTCTAACTTTAAAAATCAAATTGTTATAGGTGACATAACTGAGCAGACTTTGGGTCCATTTTGCCCCAAACAAACATGGCAGTCATATGTCGCAATCGAAGGTCACACTCACACTTGCTTCTGATTGGTCAAGACACCATAGCGCCCGCCCTCCCCTTGCTCCCATGTGGCCTATCGTTGCTCTGAACCCTCCTACTGCCTGTCACTCCAACTTCCTGCAGCCAATCAGGTGCCTTTGTCCTTTTCACATTACATTCCGCCGGGCACCGTGCTGAAGCTGAAACCTCCAACATGTCGGCTGTGTTCCCCATGTGTTTGCGGACGACCAGGGGCCTCCTGAGGCTCAGGAACCGGGCAGAAGGTGGCCTCTTCCCCGGCTGTGCTGGACCTGGTCCGGACCCTCTCAACGGACAAGCCTCCAGCCGGGAATAGCAGTGCTACGGGTGGATTGGCTCAGGCTATTTTACAGACGAAGCTCCAGCAGCAGAGTCAGGTGGGGACAGATAACCTACTTATGGGCGCTCGATTTGATTACCGGCGTGGCGGGCGGGGATAGCGTTAACATTACATCAAATGCAACCCCGCCCACACGAGATGCCCGTGTAAATAAATCGAAGCCACTTCGCTGACATTTCTAGCTTGTAGGTTAGGCTAAAAGCTAGTTTACATCTTAATATGTAGTTTATATTCAACACATGACCAACTTTAATGGTTGAATACTCTGTGTAATTTGTCACGATGAAATGCCAACTCTATTAATATAACAATTCGGCTGCATTTTGCGTGTTTTCTGAATGAATGAACCTGAGATTAGGGTTGCTAACAGGTTAGCATCTTAATAGCATGCGTTTTTACAGGTGTATCTCTCTGTAACACATGTTAGAGACACGGTTAGTTTAACAGGCTTTACTTGAGACTTTGTGTTACATTTACCAACAGAATAATGAGTTAAAATAAAGCTGTCTTACACTGGTTAGCTGTAAGAGTTAGCATCATGTTAGCCTTATCTCTATAGCTCACTGACATCATTAGGGCTAGTTTTAGCTTCTCAAAGACACTCATATTAAACTATCTGTCCTTGATAGAGCTCCATGTTATCTGTAAATCAGCAGCTGCTAGATAAACTGTGATGACAGCCAAGGTTTGTTTGGTTTTGAAGGTCATAACAGACCCCCACCCCCCTTTTCTACCCTGTGTCCTCCCCGCCTTTACTCTTATGAGACCCACCCGGAAACCCAAAAATCTGCAGCACACTGACCACATGTGATTTAAAGACAGATTATTTGGGTTAAAATGTCAAATAAATGACAAAAACAATGACTTGCACCCACAGTTTCAGAAGTTTGTCATCAGCTGATACCTTCTTCTCCCTTCAGTAATGTCTATTTTAACATAAGAAAACTGTGTAATTAAGATATTTCAATGATGTATGGTTTATATATGACCCCAAAATATGACAAACGAACCCCTTTTATGTCCCCACACTGTGCATAACAGTTGACATTTATCTTGATGATTACCTTTTTTTGAAAGCTTCCAATAGTCAACCCTACAGTGTTGTGGCAATATTTTCAAGGTATTGGGTCAAAGATATTGTGAATATTTCATCTACTTTAGCCCTTTCTCAAGACATCGCTCTATTCTTGGGGACATTTGATTGGATCTTTTGTATTTACCTATTTTATAGACCAAAAGGTTAATTGGTTAATCCCAAAATAACCAAGAGATTACTTTCTAAGGAAACCAATTATTATTAAAACCCCTACTATCAATGATGAGGTGATACTTGATATCATCGGACCAAAAGTAATATTCTTCTTGCATCACCGCAGCTCCGTGTTACATAACCAAAGACAACAAGTAAACATACATTTGAAACAACATTAACTTGTACAATTCAATATATTCAACATACATTTGGTCTTGACTTGAACTGTGTTTGATTTAGGAATTAGGATGTAATCAGGTAGTATTTACCACACATTTCAGGCTAAATCCCCCAGATTTATACATGACACACACACGCACACGCACTCGCACACACACACACACACACAGTTGTTTCTGAAGTGAATTACCTACCCCACCTTTAAGTATTAGGATGTAATCGGGTAGTATTCATCACCACTCATTTCAGGCTAAATCCCCTGCATTATCCTTGTTAAAACACAATATTAATATATTTTTTAATATCTTGTTGTTGTTGTTGTTGTTTAGGGCCAGCCTGGTGAGGAGGGAGAAGGAGGGAGAACAGAAGCAGGAGAAGAAGCAGAATGACAACACGGCCTACGCTAAGAAGATAGTTCTCAGACTGGCGGCTTTAATGGGGGTCGGAGGAGCCGTGGGCATGATCTACCTGTTCGGTGAGTGTTACCTCCATACTGTGTTTACTGTGTATTTATAATACTGTGTTTACTGTGTATTTATAATACTGTGTTTACTGCAAAAAGTCTGTATCGTTTCACTCCTAAAAATGGCACTTTTATTTATTTAGCAGCAGTGTTTCCGCCAGACCAGGGCTGAGAGGGCGTCCACCCCGAGAGCACGGGGGGGGGTGGGGGGAGGGTGGAGATTTGAAAATTCAATTTAAAATGTGTGACTTGAATTTTGAATTGAGCCGTCCCTTATAGATACTATCTCTTTACATATGCACACACACACAATTTTGAATGGCACTATCTCTTAAAGTCTCCCTGCCGACACCCCTCCTTGCATGGTCCTCGGAAGATGCGGCGGTGTTTAAAAAAAAAAAATTCGTCACAGGAACGGGCTTTGCTGGCGGCGAAAAGAATCCCACCAGACTCCTTTGCCCCTCCAACAGAGGGATGTCCTTGTCCTTTTTTAGTTTTCGTCATGTCAAAGCGATAAAAACTTGAATCTTTTCCTCAAAAAAATGTTGGACGCCCTCGGCTCGAGTTCAGGGCGTTCCGAGCTGAATAAGAGCGTCAAATGACGGCAAGACGCCCCCCTGGCGGAAACGATATTTAGCAGCATATTTCAACACGATATCTAAGGTTTTGACATTTTCTTTGGGATACAGGTGATGTATTATGACATTCGTACACGGTAGCACAATGAAATATTTTTTAAAAGTATAATGCGGGTATAATATAGTCAAGCGTCGTATAATACAGAGGAGCGGTCGGGATGGTCTATCTGTTCGCTGAGTGTTTCCTCCATACTGTGTTTACTGTGTATTTATAATACTGTGTATTTTCACAATAAGGACATATGTATGTTAGATCATAGTCTACCACCAAAAGGTGTTTTTTCTAGTACACTATCATTTTTTAATGCATGCATCTGTGTCTCAAATAAGGACATGACGTGATTGAATTTGAGATAATTTGGCTTGAAAAGTATTTAAAAGTGTTAATGGATGCAGCCCGAAAAAACATTTTAAGGGGAAAAAGTTGTGGATACCAAATAGTCCAGGGTCGTTAAATTTGCTTGGTTTCATTTTTTTTTGTGCAGGAAGAGAAATGGACATTATTTTATTTAACATCTCAAACTATGCCGTGTTGATTCCCTGAATTCAAAGGAAATAAGTCTTTAAAATCTGCAAAGAGTTTTAATTTAAAGTTATAAGAAAGTGCAGAAGCCCTGTAATTAGCTGCAGACAGAGGTGTAAAGTAACTAAGTACATTAACTCAAGTACTGTATTTAAGTACAATTTGCAAGACTTGTACTTAAGTATTTCCATGTTATGATACTTAGTACTTCTACTTATTTAATACCTTTTAGTTACTTTACAGATGTGGATGAATGATGTGAAATCTAATCAAGTGTTAAATCAGACTTTAGTTCCACCTGGAGTAAATCCACAAGCTACCCTGCAGTATACAAAGTCATTCAAACTAGCTGCACCTTTACCAGCTTTGAGAACACTTTCATGATCAATCATTATAAAACATATCATATATATTATTCTGAAATGGACCAATCTGCACAATGACTACTTTTACTGTCGCTACTTTCACTATATTTTGATGAGAATACTTTTCTACTTTCACTTGAGGAACATTTTGAATGCAGGACTTTTACTGTAACAGAGTATTCCTACACTCTGGTACTTCTACTTTTACTCAAGACAAGATCTGAGTACTTCTACTTTTACTCAAGTACAAGATCTGAGTACTTCTACTTTTACTCAAGTACAAGATCTGAGTACTTCTACTTTTACTCAAGTACAAGATCTGAGTACTTCTACTTTTACTCAAGTACAAGATCTGAGTACTTCTACTTTTACTCAAGTACAAGATCTGAGTACTTCTACTTTTACTCAAGTACAAGATCTGAGTACTTCTACTTTTACTCAAGTACAAGTCTGAGTACTTCTACTTTTACTAAGTACAAGATCTGAGTACTTCTACTTTTACTCAAGTACAAGATCTGAGTACTTCTACTTTTACTCAAGTACAAGATCTGAGTACTTCTACTTTTACTCAAGTACAAGATCTGAGTACTTCTACTTTTACTCAAGTACAAGATCTGAGTACTTCTACTTTTACTCAAGTACAAGATCTGAGTACTTCTACTTTTACTCAAGTACAAGATCTGAGTACTTCTACTTTTACTCAAGTACAAGACCTGAGTACTTCTACTTTTACTAGAGTACAAGATCTGAGTACTTCTACTTTTACTCAAGTACAAGATCTGAGTACTTCTACTTTTACTCAAGTACAAGATCTGAGTACTTCTACTTTTACTAGAGTACAAGATCTGAGTACTTCTACTTTTACTCAAGTACAAGATCTGAGTACTTCTACTTTTACTCAAGTACAAGATCTGAGTACTTCTACTTTTACTAAGTACAAGACCTGAGTACTTCTACTTTTACTAAGTACAAGACCTGAGTACTTCTACTTTTACTCAAGTACAAGATCTGAGTACTTCTACTTTTACTCAAGTACAAGATCTGAGTACTTCTACTTTTACTCAAGTACAAGATCTGAGTACTTCTACTTGTACTCAAGTACAAGATCTGAGTACTTCTACTTTTACTCAAGTACAAGACCTGAGTACTTCTACTTTTACTCAAGTACAAGACCTGAGTACTTCTACTTTTACTCAAGTACAAGATCTGAGTACTTCTACTTTTACTAAGTACAAGATCTGAGTACTTCTACTTTTACTCAAGTACAAGATCTGAGTACTTCTACTTTTACTCAAGTACAAGATCTGAGTACTTCTACTTTTACTACAAGATCTGAGTACTTCTACTTTTACTCAAGTACAAGATCTGAGTACTTCTACTTTTACTCAAGTACAAGATCTGAGTACTTCTACTTTTACTCAAGTACAAGATCTGAGTACTTCTACTTTTACTACAAGATCTGAGTACTTCTACTTTTACTACAAGATCTGAGTACTTCTCCTCTGGCTGCAGGGAAAAAAATGTGATTGACAGATCCTTTGACCCCGCCTCCTCTCAACCGTCTCCACAGTGATGTTGTAAACAAGTGTTTTGATTGGTCTATCCCCCTCCGCTTCCTGTTTGGCGTCCCCGCCCACAAAGGGGTGGAGCTAGCTGTCAGAGAGGAGTCACACTACTATAGAGAGACTCTTAATTCATTTGTCAGGTAGAAAATACATGAAGGCAGTTTTAACTTTGAGTTTTAACTTCGAGCGAACCATTTTTCCTGGAGTTTGGCTTTTCAGTGAAGAGGACTTTAAGGATTTTGATTGAGTTTTGGGGATTTTGATTTTTTAGTGACCTTAAAGTCAGTATGTTTCCTGCGACGGAGGAAGCCTTGTTTGACATCAATGGATTACTGGGAATTAATGATTGATTATTTTCCTCTGCTTGATGGACGGAGCAGTCTTGCTTATTTTTCTACATTTCAGAAACTTCTTAGGATGCTTAGGAAGTTAAATATCACCCATTTTCTTTTGTTGGATTCTTCCCGGTTACTTTTTAACTTTTACTTTCTACCCTTATCTCCTCACCTCGTCCGTTTCATGGATTATTTCCGATGTGGATTAACTGAATTGGGGATTATTGTTCTTTTGTTATTTGGGATTTATGAATGCCTCGGCTTTGTGGATTAATCCCTTGTAAAGTTGTTTGAAGATTATGGATTATAACCTGGAAACAAAACGAATAAATCGGCCTCTTTCTGATTGGTTCCCCTGCAGATAGGTTTGTGAAACACCGTGTTCTTTACTGATAATAATTACAGGTGTTTGTGTTTTTAAAAGGGTTACATCTCTCGTCTCTGACCTTTCATGCAGGTGTTTATTAATGTGATCAAACTTCATCTTTCTGTGTCTTATATTTGGGCGCTGCAACGATTGATTTGATTAATCTATTGACCACAGGAAAGCAGAACGTTATAATCGTATGAAAAAAGCTGCAGCTGGAAGATATTTAACCATTTCTTTTTATTATGACTGTTTATTTAATGTCTGAATGTGTACTGTTGACCCTCACTCATTCAGGTACATTTTAACCCTTTACACTCAATCAAAGGGTCTTATTGTGTCTGTAAATGCAATGTGTGTTCAAACATCAGGGGCAAAAACCACCAAAATTGCCGATTTTATTAAAAATATCACAGTTTTTTTTATACATGATTCTGAGCGTGGGTTTCCCCCTCATTTTAAATATCAAATTTAACACAAAACATGCCTCTAAATGTGGCACAGTGTTCAGTTGAATCAGGAACTGTTTTATCAATTATTAATTCATTTTGTTTGAGAGTGCGTGTGTGTGTGTGTGATTTAATGACAGCTGTCAGTACCAGACAAGGTGCTTTGGAGACGTTTTGATCCGTAGAAAATGTAGTTTTTGCACCACATGACTTTATATATGGATCTCTAGAAACATGTATAAGTTTAAATGTTATATACAACCCTGAACATTTATTTAATTAACTTTTTTATTTCTTTTTTAGGCACCAACTCGCAAGACGATCAAGGAAACGTGGTGAGTGTTACTGTCACACACACACACACACACACACACTCACACTCTTTCTACAGGTGTGATTTTGCACAGTACCTGTCAGCTCCTGTGTTTTCTTTTCCCGTCAGCACACTTTCGACATGTCTCTGTGAACTTCCTCCTGCTTTGCCCCTTCTTTATCTGTGATGTGTGGTGGTGTTTTGTTCCTCTTCCTGTTGTAAAGGACACACTTCTTAGGTGTGTGGGAAAGGAAGCAGCACACTTATCTCTCCTGCCTTTGTTCCTCCGAGGCGCTGCAGCACACTCCTCATGTATCTGAGACATCAGGTCCGTCTGAGAGGAGCGTTTTGCACAGACTTCAAAGAGTTAATTGATCCTCCTCTGATCACTAACGACCTTCACTTCCCCTCCTCTCAACTACCGATGCATTTGTAAAACTGCAGGAGTGATTAGTTTTGTTTTTGTAGCTTAAACCAGGAAGTTAGCTTCTTAGCATCACACTGGGTATTAGACAAGGATTTAAATGTGATCTTACCATTGGTTGTTCTATTATTGCAGAGAATCATTTCTACGTTTTAGGACTCATTCCTTTAGTACTGAACTAGATAGATATGTAGATAGATACATAGATGGATAGATAGATAGGTAGATAGATACGTAGATAGATAGATACGTAGATAGATAGATAGATAGATAGGTAGATAGATAGATAGATGGATGGATGGATAGATAGATACGTAGATGGATACGTAGATGGATACGTAGATGGATACGTAGATAGATAGATGGATGGATAGATTTAAAGATTTGTTCTCATGTCATATACACAACTACTGTGTAGTTTTACAATGAATTATATACTTAGGCCACAGGTTCCTCAACAAGATATGTGGATGTGTGGATAGAAACATAGACTGATACCTAAATAGTTATTATATATAGATACGTAGATAGATAGACGGACAGATTCGTAGACAGATAGTTTTTTATTTTAAGACTGAAATTATCCTTTAACCTGTGGTAAATCGCTAAAAAGTACTTTTTTTCTCGCATGATGTGGGCTAATCGTTATGTAATTGTTTAAAAGACTTAATTAAATCACTTGGGTAGCAGTAACATATTGTTGTGCATTAATAATAGTACACTTCATGCTGAAAATATGGAGTTTTCCTGTTTTCTCGGGATGGATTATTTTTCACATTTGAAAGACATTTTATAAATGTTATTAAAAGATTTTGGAGCTTGTGTGTGTGTGTGTGTGGTGTGTGTGTGTGTGTGTGGTGTGTGTGTGTGTGTGTGTGTGTGGGTGTGTTGTGTGTGTGTGGGTGTGTGTGTGTGTGTGGTGGTGTGTGTGTGTGTGTGTGTGTTTGTGTTGTGTGTGTGTGGTGTGTGTGTGTTGTGTGTGTGGGGTGTGGTGTTGTGTGTGTGTGTGTGTGTGTGTGTGTGTGTGTGTGGTGGTGTGTGTGGTGTGTGTGTGTGTTGTGGTGTGTGTTGTGGTGTGTGTGTGTGTGTGTGTGTGTGTGTGTGTGTGTGTGTGTGGGTGTGTGTGTGTGTGTGTGTGTGTGTGGGTGGTGTGTGTGTTGTGTGTGTGTGTGTGTGTGTGTGTGTTGTGGGTGTGTGTGTGTGTGTGTGGTGTGTTGTGTGTGTTGAGTTTCTGCGTGTGCTCAGACGATATAAGTAATTAGAGTTAGTCATTATTATCCAACTTAAAGCTTTCTCTTGGAGCTGCTTCTCAGACGGCTCTCTTTTGGAGGTGTCTCCCTCTTCAAAGGACACACTTCTCTCACATTAAGGTCCTTTGGGACCAAAGAGACGAGATGTGTCGGGACGGCTTCCTGCTAAGTGTCTTTGTCGCCCAGACTTTAAGCCGTCGAGCCGGAAAGACAAGAAACGTCCGGGAAAACAGATTTTTAGACTCTTAACTCGACACTTAAGAGGATTTAGAGTTTCTGAACTTAAAATACTCCATGAAGATGAATGCTGTAGTTATCTTCTCTTCCAAGCACATTGGCAATTCAAAGTGCTTTACAAAGAAAAGCAAGAAGAAATAGTGCAATTTAAGTGTATAATAAATACAGAGAAACAAGCTATATTGGATTATTTTAGGTTCAAACACTCACTTTATAATATTAATATACTTCAAATGAGTATCAAATTCCTCTTATTTGGGGAAAAAACACATTCAATAAGTCAAAGGTCAAAATATCTGAAATGTTTTAACCCATCAAGTCTTATTTTTCAGCAAGCATGGAAGGTTTATTTAGATATTAAATTGCAGCAAATCTCAATTTTCGAGAGGCTAAAACAAAACAATTTTGGGATGTTTTTGTAGAACTTAGTACCTAATGGAAGGATTATCAGAATACTTTTTCAATTAGTCAACTTAGTCATTAGTTTCCTTGAATAATGGTCTA